GGGTTCTGGAGGATTACTTACGCAGTTATACGCGTTCTGACCATGACGCGTGGGATGAGCTGTTAGCCATGGCCGAGTTTGCAATGAACAACTCGAAAAACAGTTCCACCCAAGAAACCCCGTTCTATCTGAATTACGGGAGGCACCCAAAGAGTCCCTTAGCTCTTGGTGTGCAAATTCGGAAGCCATTAAAGGGCTATGACAATCCGAATGCCAGCGGCTTGGCAGTGGCCATTGAAAGGGCGCAGCAGCCTTATTTGAGGCAGTCTGGTACACCCCTCGTGGAGGGATTACCAGCAGTGACACGATTTGATCACCGTGTCCAATCAGCGCTGAAAGAGGCCAGGGCGTGCTTAGAGAAAGCACGAGATAGGCAATCAAAGCATGCTGACCGCCATCGAAGAGAGGTGTCGTTTAGTAAAGGAGATGACGTCCTCCTTTCGACACAGCATATTACTCTCAAACACCCTGGGACTCGAAAACTATTACCGAGGTGGATTGGGCCCTTCACCATCCTCGACCGGATAGGTTCTGTTGCATATCGACTAGAACTCCCGGAAAGCATGCATGGGATACATCCAGTATTTCATGTATCGAAGATTAAGCCTTATAAGGCAAGTGGCAGAGTACAGCCACCCCCAGTACCTATCGAGATCGAAGGTGAACTGGAGTACGAAGTTGAACGTATCCTTGATAAAAGGATTAAAAAGCGTGGGAGGCGCAAAAACTATGTTGAGTACCTTGTCAAATGGCTGGGATATGGACATGAGCATAACAGCTGGGAATCAGCAAAGTCAGTTGCAAATGCACAGGAATTGGTTCAAGCATTTGAAAATGGCAGAACACCTGTGATGCGAATGCAAACTGCATGAAGTACGGGATGTACATACTGAAACATGCTCATGTGCGCTTATGCTTTTGACAGGTTCTCTTGCGCTGGGCCCAGAAAAACACTGGGTATACTGCCCCCCGTGCAAGATCGCAGTTTGGACACATGAACGCCATGTCCGTTGCGATCCTCAACGGGGAGAGGTTGGAGACCGCCCCCCCTACGTGCCATTTCCCCGTGCGCCTGAGCGTGCACGCGGACGTGGGCGACGGCGGGGTGCCGCACCGGGCCGATCTGTACCGGCGTGGGCTTTTGGTGGTACTCGGTATCGTGGTCGCCGATGAAAGGCCGGGAGGTCAAACATTTCCAGCCACTTGGCTGAGGAAGAGTTTTAATGAGGGTTGTAAAGGCCGGGACGGTCATGTAAAACAACCACTCTTTCTCTTCATCCAAAATTGTTTTGTGTGTTGTGTTTTGTTAGCTGGGCATGTGGCAAATCGCACAGCCAGTTCCACCAACATACATACAATGTTTCTGCTCCCGTATTCACTTATACTGGGACGAGGACGCCCCTCTCCCTGAGGGGGACGAATGTTACGCGCACCAGCCTGATGTGGGAGACGTCCTACTAATGGCCCTTGGTGTGGGGGACGCCCTGCCCAAGGCGCGTACTATTCCTCACCCAATGTAACCTTTATCCATATTAGGATACGGGAGTAGGAGGGGTGGTCCCGCCTAGGTGCCCTGTAAGGACCTAGGTGCCCGGCGAGGCGGGTCCGCGGCTCAAAGAGGGCAGGAACCCCACACCCACATCCTATTCGTAACACCGGGGCCCGAACATTCCGGGCCGGGTGAGAGGGGGATCGACGCCGCCGCGTCTCCCCACCGGACGCCGCGAGAGGCCGAGGACCGGCGGCACGAGGCCGCCGAGATTCTGGCGCATTGCGCGCCGTTGCAGTCGGCTCGTTGGCGGCAGCGTGCTGATTCACTGCAGTGGCCTATGCCATTGGGAGCTTGCCAGCTTCCCACATTATAGCGACATGTGCCTGCGGTGTCTCAATATGTCATACCGTATTTACCCAGTACTAGGCGGCATATATTGGACCCCCAAAATGAGCGGTGGATATTAATAGTGGGTCATGGACACTAATGCAGTTTAGAACCCCGATCCGACGAGCAAACAAAGAAAATTTTGGAAACATAAATCGTGACATACCCAAAAAATGGGTTTGTAATAATGTAAGATGCAGTGCATAAGTAGCAGCATCACTAAGTCCCCAACGTTATAGCAATGTGTGCCTGCGGTGTCTCAATATGTCATATTTCGCGGGCCTCCTGCCAAACTCTCCCTCAACAACCAACACGATGGTCATCATCGATGCACGAATCGCAAGGAATGCGGTTTGGCCCAGACTGGGCGACGCGCCCAACACCAGCTGCCCACATCCCTTGCCACCATCCACGCTCTCCCTCGTTTCTGCTCTGTTGTGGTCTGGGGGTGGATAGTAAGACCGGGTCGTGGATACTAACGTGGTTTCGACACCCAAAGATGGGTGTGGATACTAATAGGAGTGGATACTAATACCGGGTAAATACGGCAAGTTGCTGCAGTGTCCTGTGGGATACTTGGGCCCACTTCCATCCAGCCAGTAGGATTCAATCTCAGTCTGCTAAAAATCAAACTTCGACACTTCCACCACCCATCCAGCACTGCAATAGCGGAGATGGAAGGCCAGCAAGGAGGTGCACGCCAGGCAATGCGTCCAGGTCACCACCCCAGCCCTGCGGCTTTGTGGAGGGGGCTCGGGTTGGAGACACGGCCCCATTAAGGGCCTGCTGAAGCCAAACCAGAGTATTGCTGCCCAGCTTGCCAGATCTGGCATGCACGGAGCACCAACATGTGTAGGGTGGCAATCGATGCGACTTTCAGAGGGAGTCTCAGAACAGAGCGACGCACGCCCCCCACAACAGACCGCGAAGCAACGCCTTCGGGTTCCGCGAACATCTTCTCTGTACCTGTCCACTGCCAGCATTCGGACTGGTTTGGCAGTACCCTGGGGGCAACACTTGGGCCAACTGCCCTGGCGCGTCGTGCGACACACCTGCCGGCAGCCAGAAGTGCAAAACTGGATGCTCTGTCAACCTGGCCCCACCACACGCACTCAGGACGGCAGTAAAGTGCCACAGGCATGCGATATGATTACAGTTGCGTCGGTTCCAAATGCCGCGAAGGGGTGCGGCGCGGACACACCCTGCCACCCGCCAACGCTCGGCCATTTCCACGCTGCGACCGCCGCGCCAAACAATCGCGAAAGCTCAGCCGGCGCACAAAGAATCCCACGTCAACCTAAACCCCGCACCTAACCCCTTTTGCAGCTAGCGCCAGTGCGTCTCGACAACAGCGCACTCGAGAGTTCTGTGGGACTGCCTCCAGTGCCCAGGGTCGGCAACCCCTCAAAGGGGAGCGCCCCTTCTCCCAACAGGCTCCACAGCTCGGGTCCTTGGGGCCCGCACCGCGGGCGGGCCGTCCCTCTACACACGAACAAGCATCCGACAAGGCCAATATCTTCTCAGCATTTGGCAGTTTCAGGTCCAAATTCTTCCAAGTTTTCAGCCAACCGCCCCATTCTCGGAGCAGGGAGGCCGGGCCCCTCATTTGTGCCCGAAGGGCGCCTGCTTGGGGAACTTGGCCTGGCCGAAGGAGACGGGCAGCGCCAGCAGCTTCTTCCACCGCCTCACGTACGCCCTCTGCGTGAAGTTGTTGTAGTCGTTCTCCTCGATGGCGTCCAGGATCTGCCGGTAGAGGTTCAGAGCCGACCAAACCGGCCAGCGAGCGTCCGCGTCCAGAGCGTGCACCCCCTCCTCCGCTGTCACGAAGAACTGCCGGGCGCGCTTGATCTGGAACTTCATGAACGCCCGCCACCGATCGTCGATCCTCCCGTTTGTTGATGCGAACAGCCCCCCGCGCAGAAGCTCCTGCTCGCGAATGCCAAATTGGTCCAGCTCTTCTGTGGGCAGGTAGATGCGGTTGCGCTGCAGGGAGTCCTCGCCCACGTCGCGTAGGATGTTGGTCAGCTGGTTGGCGGTGCCCAGCGCCAGGGCGGCCCGGTACACCGGCTCCAGGGGCCCCTTATACTCCGGGTCTATGCCCATCACCGGGCTGGTCATGAGCCCCACGGCACCGGCCACGCGGTAGCAATACTCGTACAGCTCGTCGAAGGTCTGGTACCTGCTCTTGACCAGGTCCATCCGCATCCCGCCGATCATGTCCCGGAAGGGCTGGATGTCCAGAGGGAACCGGTCGATCGTGTCCGTGAGCGCAGCGTCCAGGATGTCCGCCGGCCTGCCCTCGAACAGCGCCTCCAGCCGCTCCTCCCACCGGTCCAGCGCCTGGGGCGTCATCCTCGACGCGTTTGGACCGTCCACCAGCTCGTCCGTGCGCCGGCACCACACGTAGATCGCCCATGTGGCCCGCGCCTTCTCCGGCGTCATGAGGCTCGTCCCCAGGTAGAACGTTTTCGCATACTCGGCCGTGACCTTGGCGCATCGGTCGTAGGAGGCCTGGAGCGACGCCGACCGCTGCCGGTCCGGCGGCGACCGGCAGCTCAGCGGCACGCCGCCGGCTTCATGTCGCCGCCAGCACTTCTGCAGCGCGTGCTCCTCGACTTCCCGCCCCGTGAGCCGCCGCTGGGGCCGATCGCTCCCCTCGCCATCGCGCACTTTCGGCGCCTGCTCCGGGCGGGTGAGCACCGCACGGGTCTTGGGCGGCCTGCGCAGGCGTTCTTGCGGCGGCCGGACGGTGCCCAGGCTGGCATCCAGCGACTCGCGGGCGCTCGGCGCGCCAGCCATCAAATCTTTTCCACCCCGAATCGATTGGTCTGTTCGGAGGAGCGGGATGGACCCCTGCGTGATCGAGTATGGCCCCAAGGGGACGCAGGGTGGGTGGTGGGGGGTGGGGGTTGGGGTGGGGTGGGGGGTGGGGGACCGGCTCAAGACGGTGGGGTGCAAGGCGAAGGGGAGGCGGAAGCCCTTTCAGGGCGAATGGGGGGAGGGGGGGGAGAGAATCATGGCCATAAAGTGCGGGGGGATCTTGTGGGGGGAAGTGCCACGTGGGGCGAGATGAGGGGCGCACCTCGATCGACGGATCGAGTGTGTGCAACGGGGTGTGTGTGCGGCTGGGCAAGGGCGGCGCGAGGCCCGGAGACGAGCTGCGAAAGGCCGTGGTGGGAAGCGGCGGGTCGATCCTTTTGGGAAAAAGTGGACAATAATGTGTATATAATATTATGTAAATAAGTAAACAATATGACAATAAAACGTGTTGCAGCTCGCATCTCTGTGATCGCGGAGAAAAATTGCAAATTGTCTTCCTGGAAGTGTCAGGTGGATGGGCGGGGAGCCCAGTGCCCTCGCCTGACATTTCGTTTTGGGTGGCAGGGTGGCTCGGGCCCAACGTGCAGCGGTGAAATGGCAGCGGCACTGTTGCCCACGCCGATCGGGTGTGAGTTTCGTGACGGCCCCTCCAGGGCCCCCCAAGTCACCTCACATTCCACCAACAACTGGGGCACGCTCCAGAACTGGCCAGAAGTTTGGCAGCGTTCCCCCAGCAATTTGGGTGTTTTGCCAATGACTTGCCGCCACTCTCAACTTCCTTTTCTCTGTGCCGCTGTTCCCTTTTCCAATGGGCGGAGCGTACTCTGTGGCATCTTTGGCATTGCTGGCGTGAAGCAAAGCCGCCCCAGCCACCCACCCTTGGGGCCCAGACGTGGTTGGGTGCAGCTCAGTGCGCGGGGACATTGTTGGATCCTCCGATCGACGGTGGCAGGTGCGTCAATTTGGGCGGAGGGAACGGCCGGACGGACCAACAGCGACCGCACTTCCAGCAAAACTGCAGCACGGCCCGCATCCCATGTTCAAATTCACATCACCAGCAGACTAGAGGCACACGTCTCGATGTCGAGCACGTCCCCATTGCGTCACTTTTCAAATGGATCAAAAAATCGGTGTTACAAATGACACGTTGCAAGTCAATGACAAATAGTCCATTGCGGGGTACCAACAACAGCGGCAAATCGAAAAAACAAGGACAAAAGAACGAAAGGATCAACGCGAAATGTCAGGCGAGACGCCACCTCCCCATGCAAAGCACCCCACAGGTAGGCCGGGCTCAAGCTGAGGGCCCCACAACGGCTGCTGATTCCATGCAAGTGGCACTCCCACCGATCAGCGAATCTGCCTCTGAAACACCGTCGGGCAGCCCAGCTCTGCCCACCCACATCAGACAACTGCAAACACATCTGAGCTTCGCATGGAGTGCGTGTGTGCACGCACATCCCCACGGCACTCCACGACGCTCCTGCAAAAATGCGCAACCTAGCGGTCAAGACGTCTCGACTAGTGCTGCGGCCACGCGACCACAAAATGAGCGCGCCGCAGAGACAGACTGCAGTGTGTGCCATCGCAAACGGCACCTAAGAATGTTTGAATATAAAATGCTATCAGAAAGTGGGCGGCAAGGAGCGGGACGAGCACCCGCCCACGGCTCAACCCTCGCCCGCTCCCCTGCCCACACCCCTGGACAACCTGCTGCCAACAACAGTCAACACCTGGCGAGGAGCGAAAAAAAGCCCATCATTATTGGTGTGCACTGACTCCACACCCCCGTCAGCCGTGTTTCCCTCCACACGTTTTCTGCCCATTATTTAGCCCCTCAAGGACACCCTAGGATCAGCCCAGCCCAGCCCAGCCCAGCCCATCCCCTGTCTTCCCAACCAGCAAAAGCGTCCCTGCCTTGCCGAACTCCACAGCTTGAAAGGCGTCGCCCAATTCTTAAGCAAGGGCTCTTCCATAAGCCCCACACGCCGTCGACAGTAGACGCGCCGCCACCGGTGCCTTGGCCAGCCGCAAAGCTGCACCAACCTACCCTTTTCACCCCCATGGGCCCCAGAAAACGCGCCCAAACACCGAACCACCGGCAGTGTGCCCATTGATGGCACCCATTAGCCTTTACGTGTTCCAGGTTCGGTGCCATGTGCCCATCGTTTAACCCACAGTCTCTTTCTTCTCCTTTGAAACAAAGAATTTGTCAACACCCAGGTTTCACCAAGCCGCCGTCCATTGCGGCGCCTCTCTCATCAGCGTGGGCCCCCATGTAATAACACTACGCGATCTCCAACCCGCCCGCATGGGCCCCCAGCCCCTGCAAATCGCAGGGCCCTCAAAATCCCTCATCTGCTACTACAATACAACAAAAAGACGCCAGCGTGTACTCAGCCACCCGCTGGCCCAGGCCTCGTTCTCCTCAGCGCCCCCCTCATTGCGCCCAGCATGTGCTGCCCCCGTTCCCAACCCTTCATTTCCTCTCCTCTCAGGCAAAACTGGGCATCACTCAACCACCACCCTGTTGAACAGGAGCCCCAGCGGGCTCACGCCAGGGGTGCCCTTCTGGCCGTCGCGGCTGTGCATCACGGACTTGAGCGTCCAGCACGCCCAGCCGAACAACTCCCTAACGATGTAGATGTTGAAGGAGCCCTGTGCCACGTCCAACCCCGTTAGGGGGTTCTCCACCACCCACTGCTCGCCAAACATCGGGCTGTAGCTGTTGCCCACCGCGCGGATGGTCTTGCCATGCCGGCCGCCCCTCCGGCCCCCGCCGCCGTAGTGCTCCACCCAGTACCGGGCGACGATGCCGCCCATGCGCACCGACACGGCCTGCAGCTCGGGGTTGAAGAGGTTGGCGTAGCGGTCGAAGAAATGCAGCAGCAGCTCCCCGAAGTCAGCAGTCGGCTGCGGATCCAAGGCCACAGCATCAAAACCGGGCCCTTTGAGGACGCAGGTGACCATCCCCCCAGTGGACATATTCCATCAGACCAGAACAGCAGGCGCTGACTGGCTGGAGATGGGCCGCTGCTTTGTCTTTCAAAGGCAATTATCAACAAGCGGTGCATTTTGAGAGGACCTCCAGATCCCTTGCTGTTTGCAATGGCCGATGATGTGCAACAGATGTGAAACTGTGGTTCTTGGAGGTCTATCCATTCTGAATGAAATAAAGCACAATACAATATGCTGGGCAGGTTGTTTCCTGTTGACAAACCTGTCCGGCCTTCATCGTCTCCTGGATGTGGGCCACAAGGAGGTTGGCCAGGGCAAAGCCCCCAAGGCCACCGTCCTTGACGTCACCTAGGTGGTACGCCTTGAGGAAGGCCTTGAGCACCAGCGCGAGCGGCCTGAGAGCGGGGTACTGCCTCACCTTCTCAATCATGAACCTGCACCGCCACGGTTGGCACCGGGTCAGTCTCCTCTGACCAACACCTGCAGGTGTGCCCCCCCCCCCACCCCCCCCACCCCCACACACAATAAAAAAGAAAAGAAGCAAAATACCACCAGCACACACTTCACCCAGCAACCCAGCTCCAACGGAATGACATTGGCTGGTGTGCGTAGTGTGCAGTGGTGTGCAGTGCATTTGCACTGATGGATGTGTGGCTGTCAAGCGGAGCAAAGCAGCTTATTAACCGGGTAAACAACGCAGCCAAGCACAATCTCTGATAGCATATCTTCCTTTCAGCTGAATCCCTGCCTGCAGCGTCCCTGACCCAATATTTGGTATTCGGTCTTCTCAATACTTACTCCTCTTCGTGGTACTTACTTTTAATAGGCTCATACCAAGAGCAGAGGGCCATTCAGATGATCGATTCTGTCTGTGGATTCGCTTGGACATATGCAAGCATGGGACAATGACAATAAACTTTCCTGTGTTGATACTCCATGCGATCTGATAGCCCACATTAGGAGCAACAGGCTCCTCACTGCAGTGCAAAAACAGCGGCATCCAAAAAAGGGCTTTGCTTAGACTGGCTCCTGTCGAGGCCCACCTCGCAGCCTTTGGGCCCATGTCATCGTTGATGGAGAGGTCCACCATGACCCCATCTTCGGTTGTGAACTGCACACCAACAAAAGAATTCAGGGGCAGAATTCCACAGGAAGTGCATCCAAAACCGCATCCGGTGCTGTGGGCACAACGAAGGTCTATCAAACACACGGCCTCGCGTGCACATGGACAGAGGATTGTGGTCACAAACTCTGTTGCAGCATGGGAGTCGCTGCCCTCCTCCCTGTGAGGCGATCAGCCCACCCCATGGCTCTGAGGGAGCTTCGATGAAATAACGATGCTTACCCGTCAGGGTAAACCCACAAACCTGACCAGCTAGCTGGCACAACATGTTGTTGCTGATCAGTGATGGTTGTCTGCTGAGGGACTCCCAAACTTAACACACGCCCTGCTCCAGAGAATTATGTACAACATACAATGAGGCATAACATCACAATGAGTGTGTGCGGAATCGATGACCAACACTGACACACAAGATGTGTTGCTCTGCACTGCGATCAGCCAAGATGCCCATGACATGTAACTGCGATAGCTATCACACTGATTCTGTGACAACTCTTGACCTCCGTTCCTTGGTGACTGAGCAATGTATCATCCAAATCTGCAAAATTGGGCTAATTTCAGACAGGCATAACTGAAACAGCCCAGAAAAGGAATCGATCCTTCTGTTGAGCCCAAGACAGGAGCAGGGACCCAGCCTCACCTTCAACAACGGAATCTTGGCATGCTGAATGAGCTGAGCATGGGCTATGTGCATCTTGGGGCACTCCAGCAATTTTTCCTTCAGTTTCCGCAGGTGCTGGCCGGCAAGCACTTGTTTGTGTCCAAAAAATCCCCCAGGCGAGTCCGGGTTCAGGAGTCCACAGATGACCAAGTCAACGTCAGAGGAAGATGTCGCCAGGCCATTCACGAAGCTCCCAAATGGCTCCACCTGAGAATGCAAACATTGCAACTCAGCTTAAGCAACACATACCGGGACTGAACAACATAGGGAAATTTCTAGCAGGGAAGCCCATGGCTTGCCCCCTCTCCAGCAGTTCACCAGAGTCAACTGATTTTCCTATTGCATAAATGATCGAACTGGTGATAAAACAAACAAACAACAATAGCACGTCTGTGCTCACAAGGCAACGGTGTGGCAAACGACTCACTGAAAACGGGGAACAGATGCAAGCCACACAACAGCCCACCTGAGCCTGCGTCCCAAATGTCTCGTAGCATGTTTTCCTGACCAGTTCAATTATTGCATCACATCGTCCATGTTCCTCAGCGGTCGGTGTGAGCTGTGCTGCAAAAGCGACGATCTCTTCGTGCAGCCTGCTTGGTTTTACTTTCATCGTTTGGGTTTTCACATCACTGACGGCTTCGCCCGGAGCCACAGGGCTAATGGTTGGGTTTCTGATGTTGCCGTCGTCGCGCTTGCCACCGTTGTTAAGCTCCGGCGCCATTGTTGTCCTCTTGCAGAGGCCCTATGAGCCATCCAGCGCAAGTGAGTTGAGAGGCACCCTGCGAATGTTGCTGCTGCAGCCGTGTTCCATGTGCTTTTCCTTCCAAGTCTACAATGACACGTGGGGGGGCAAGGCGTTTGTCAAGCAGTAGCACCCAGCCACTTGCGCTGAACTCTGCATCGTTTCCATGCAACCCACAACTCCCTCGGCAGGCACTTCTCTCGTAGGCATGGCCTGCCTCTCCTGAATGGAGTACACAAGTTGGTGCCCCAACACAAGTGAATGCTGCCTATCAGTTTCTGTCTTTGCCAAACCATGCATCCCACACTGGCTTACATCGCCCAACATACAAGCAAGCAAGGGCAGTGTTTGCTGTGCTACGGACAAAATTGTTGGTGAAACTGCAGAGCCGGGGTTGATGCGTTTGCCCACCCCCTGCCACAATTCAAGAAATTGAAGTGTGCACAGAATCAATTGCTCTCAAGCAGAACAAACCGCTGCTGCCAGTGCATATGTGTACCTCTCCTGTCAGATCCCCCGATTCTGTCTCCTACTAGGATGAGCGAGCACAGCTAGCTATTGACCTGCCCGCAGCTCCTGTGCCACACACAAAGCCTGTCTTCAGCATCGATCTTGCAGCCAGCGACATTGCAAGCCTGCAAGGACAAAGGAGCACAACCCACCCCTGCAGGGAAGCAGTCCACCAATGTACGATTTGTGTCAATCTTTGAGACATTTCATGGCACAGCCAACCCCTTGCTACTGCCCCAGGGAGCAGGGGGTCAGCATGAAAACAACAGTTACTTTATAAAGGTGGTCATGTTTTCCACTTCCCAAAGGTCATCACAAAAATCGTTCAAAGTCCATCAGTTCAGCAAACCCGGTTTGCTGGCTACTGTGGACAACTGCTTTTCCCAGCAACCCGCCCCGCTGCCAGACACCCTCAATACGCCCATCGACCTCACCGCATGGATGCCAACGATCCAACAACAGCCCACTGTCCGCAAACTGATGAACGACTTCCCTCGGCAGTCAAGCACAACAACAAGCGCCCAGAAAGCCGCTCATCACTTCCTTGAGCTGGCAGCACAGTTCCACCCCAGCGCCCACAGCCGGCCGGTGGAAACCCGTTCATGTTTGCCAAATTCCTCGTGCAGGTCAATTCCGCACGAGGCCCAGGAATCGCCAAACGAACGCAGCGAGCGACAGCGTCCGCGGCCGCAACAACTCGCATCCATCTCCAAACCGCGGCGGGCAACCACCCAGGATTTAGTGTGTAGGCTACCAGCACCAGGGGCTAAAAGGGAAGGCGAAAATCTCAGCCTTTGACGCCGAACAGTCCCTCAAGCCAGCACGCCGAAAAGACAAAAGAGCCTCGAGTCCACGACGCCTCTTCTCAGTTTCTTCCTCCGACTCGCACGGTGTTCGCCTCGCTCGCGCAGTTCCGTCCACCCACCGGCATCAATCTAAGCCGCGGCTGTGCCGTGCATGCCGTGTGCGCTTCCCAAGCCGCCAACGCACCCCAGCACACTCGGTGTCGCGCTGCACGGACCGCCGCTGTAGGTTCGCGCAAACCACAAGGCCATAAACTTTGCACCTAGTTGTCAATCACGCCGCCCACCCCGCAGCGCCCTCGGCTGTCGAGCAGGTACGGCAGGCGGCTCGGCCGCCGAGGTTTCGGGCAGCCAGCCGTACAGCGAGCGCCCCGGAAGGCATGGCGAAGGGGTAAGGTTTGTGACAAACAGGCAAAACGGGTCATGCGAAGGGGGGTCCTTCCCTGGCAACCGCGCACGGAACACCTTTCCACGCCGTGAGGCGATGATGCGGATTCTCCAGAGCAACGAGGCGACGTGCAACACGAGCACCGCAAAGAGCAACCTGGCGGGGGGCGGCGGCTGGCAAAGGGGGCCCACGGCCCGATGATGCCGGCGAAACGGTAAATTATAAGAGGATCGCGCGGGGGTGAGCGGGGTTCGAGCCCCGCGGCTCCAGCGACAGCGCCCATCGCGCCGCGGCACCGTCGGCAGCCAGGCCGCGAGCGCCCAGCCGCGCCCGCCCGGTGGTAACGGATTCTCGCCAGCTGCCCTCCGCGCACACCCGGCCACGCGCGAGATCATGACTTAGAAGCCCAAGCGAAACGCAGCACCCGAGTCCGCAAGAGAGCGAGCCTCGCCCGCCCCGGCGTATGGTCCAAGCCCTCCGATGGGGTCACAGCGGGTCGAGAACGGGGGGTCCAAAGAAAAAGGGCCCATCATTCGGCCAGCTGCGCTCGGGCATCTTACCTCTGTGCGCTGCCCGGAGCGCCGTCGGTTCCAAATGGAGCGGCGCCGCGGGCCAAGTCGCAGACCCGGCCGAAGGGGGTGCAGTGCGAGCGCCGGTGGCCCTCGGGCTGTCCTTCAGACGGCGGGACGCGCGCACGGGGGACGTGCCGCACCGCGAAAGCGGCCCGTAATGCCCGGCCTTTTACACTCAGCGGGGCATACCGCCTTTGACCGGGTTGACGGTCCGCTGACTGTGTTAGCCGGGCGGTGACTCCGTCGGCCGTCCGGTGACTGTGCAGGCGACGGGGCGACGGGGTGGAGGCGGGCGGCGGAAAATCGGCCTGATGCGGGCGGCGCGGCTCACTGACCGCCTGTTGATTCCGCCACTCTGCGGGGCCTGTGTAAGCGCCGGGAATCTTGGCCCGGGGGGGTCGGACGTGGTCTGCATAAGGGGAGGGTGGGCCGATGAGCCGCGGCCGCGAGGTGCTCGGAGGCTTGCGCTTCTTTGAGAGCGTGGGCGCTGGGGAGCACGCGCCGCGGAGGGAACTGGCAGTGTTCCGGCGCCGGGCGGTCGACGCCGGGCTCGCCGCGACGGGTCCGGAGATCTGAGCGGTGCAGATTTGGAGGGGAGGGAAGATCCCAAGGGGAAATGCGGCCCCTGTTCGGATTATCTTGCGCGCATCTTGTGCGCACCGCGGGCGCGCTTCCTCGCCATCGGGATCCGTACCGCCGTGCGCGAAAAGCCGGCAGCGCCCGTCAGTCTCGAGGGCCGTCGCGACGAGCCCCACGAAACGCACGCGAGCAGCGGGCGGCTGGCGATCCCCGTCTTTTGGACATCGTGCCAAACGGCCGCGTCGCGGTGAGCGCGCCTGAAAGCACGAGCGCGCTTCCCTGGGCCCACGCGCCAGAATTTCGGCCCGAAAAATGTCGGGCGGAACAGCCCTTGGGCCACGCGACGAAAACAACCGCCATGCGCAAAGCGCCGAACATCATTTTCGCAATGGCACGCGACCGTTCGCTTTCCGAGCGCAGGGAGGGGACAACCCGACACGGGATGCGCGAAAGTCCGTGACTCGTCACCTGCAATCTCCCGCCAGGCTACCCCGCCGTGGCAGGCTCCCGAAGGAGGCGGCGCCCCTGGCCACGGCGTCGACCGGCGTTGGCCCCGCGCCAACCGCTCGCCTCTCCGCTCTCGCGCCCCTGGGCGGCCCACCGTGCCGTGTGCCTTCCGCTGCTGGAGGGAGTGGCGCAGTGACGTGAGACCAAATGCCCAAATCTCCTCCAAAAATCTGGCCGGGGCGCGTTCATGGCCAAAAGTTGCGCCAGCTCGATGACGGGGTTTGTATCTGCTCAAGGGGTCAACGGCTGCCCGGAGCCCGTGCAATAACTTCGGTTTTCCCGGCGAAGGAACGCCAGCAATTTCCAGCGTAGGCCCAATGTACTAGCCGGCCTGGCACCTGTCTTGACCACCTGCGCCCCTTCCTCAACAGCACTCGACGGAAAAAATCAGCTACACAATTTGTCAGGCCCAAATATACTTGCCGCTGTGCGAGACGGTGGCATCTCGCTAATCCATAATTGTCCATTAACTCCTACATAGTGTCCACAACGCCTCCATCTGTGCATTAACACATTATATCACGACAGCGTGCACAACGGAGTTGGAAGACGCTGCATATGGGGCGCATGGCTTGGAAGTTTCAAGACCCCACATTTCTGGTTGGGAGCCGCGCACGCACCCTGCACAGGGATGACTAATTCAGGTCCGACCCGCCCCATTCGAAGAGGGCCTTGACGGACTGACCTTCCAGGCCCTTCGAGGCACCCAACCAGAAATCTGACGCATGGGGAGCCTGCTGGGCACGAGAAGGGCAGACGCCGATGAGCAAGGGCACCCAGGAAGGTCTCCCGCGGGCGACTTGACAACACAACGGGACCGGCAAAACACCCTTTGTCTTCCCTGCCGTGGCCATTACATGCGTGCTGACTGATTCCGTGATTCCTCGACTGTATGGATGTATCAACGAACGAATGGCACCGGCTGGAGGGGCAGCCATCCCGGTGCCGGCGTCAGCCCGGCCGCCATCCCGCCGTGTCGAATATTCGACAGAGGCCGCGCGTGCATTGCCCTTCAAGGCGAATCAGGAACGCTTTTAGGCAAGTGAAGCGCTGGGGTGTCCTCCTATTGTCGTATGTGTTCCCTTGACAAATTGGGGACTGGGTCAGATGTCGGTGCCTCACGGCCAGAGGCGCTTCGATTTTGCTTCGAAGGCGACCTCTGCGTGGTTCCTCGGTCCATCGTCCATCCCGCGTGTGCCAAGGGAGTGGAAAATGTGCTCACACAGGGGCACTCCGGGGTCCAGAGCTGCATCATCAGGGGGGGGGGGGGTTCCAGGACGATGTCAACACGCCAGGGCGGCGGGCGCGCGAACGGTGCTCTTCCCGCGCTGCTGGGACGTCAGCCGGAGGAGGGTTGACGCGAAACCTGTGGGAACAGAGTTGGGCGCCGCGACTCTGACGTCGTGTGACGACAATTGCGCACCAATGGACTGCGGCCGCGCGGTGCGGCGCGTCCCCCACGGTGGGAAGGGCTCTTGGGAGCAGCGAGCTCCCACGACGAACAAGGCGTGGATTGGCCGAAGGAGTGGATTGGCCGGCGGCGCTGGAGGCAATGTTGGCTTTTTGATGCGAGGGGATGGGTCAAGGCATTCGGCCGTCGTGGCGCCCAGCCTAGCAGAT